GCAGGGGGAAAAGCTGCCAAAATAACCGATTTTTTTCGGAAACCGTTTTTTTGCTATAACTTTTGACTCATACCTTGCACGAACTTTATTTTCGTGTTCCTCTCGCCAAGACGCGTCGACTGAACTATCACTTGACCTTGAAAGGTCAACTTGAAAATTTGGCCTTTGATCAAGGTCATGACCTGACCGGTAAGGGTCAAGTTGCATATCAGTCGATCCGTTTCGTCGAGCCAAACGCAACTAAGGTATTTTCATCGCTCTAGCATGCCTCTATCAAAAGTTATTCGCGAAAAACAGCCAGATACCATTAGTGACCTGAGATGACCTCAGGGGCGTAAAAAGGGGTCACGGGTGCCATTTTCATGCTCAGTGTGTCAAAGATACTAGTAATTCAGACGTGTTTGGCGTGTTTAAAATGACTTCCATCTAAGAAAGGCGACTTTCAATTTTCTCCCATTGACTTACCTATACCTAATGGGGAGGTCGCAAAATTGACCTGACCTTAGGTCATCGATATCAAAATTCCAAGATAAGCTTTTTGTACACATTGCTGCTCTTATCAATCTCTAAAAGTTTTAAAGCGATCGGTCATTCGGTGTAGCTGTGGCAGACATTGAAACTTTTTATGTAGTGAGGTAACTTGACCTGACCTGGTGACCTGACCTTAAGCGACTTGGGTCTGAAATTTTCACGACATATGTAGAAAAGATGTATGATAAGGTGTACCAAAAACGGCGGCATTTCGCGCCGCCATTTTTGAGATATTCGTGAAAAACTGCAGGGTGATGCTCAACACCCCCCCCCCCCCCCCAGCAGGGCGCGGGCTTATAATGGTGAGGTCATATAAGAGACACCTCAGTGACAGTTACTTAGGAGGAATCCGAGATATGCAAGTTGTAAGGCATTGGGAGGTTACTAAGACTTGACAGTTTCAGCTGCATGTGAAAAATCGCCTGGCACACTGAGGGAATCGCGAACTTGCAACATTGAACTATTTGAATAATATTGAAACTATACCTATTCAACAATATCCACAGACCACAAGACACAGAGGCTACTCCGCTGTGGTCATTATTCCATAGTTCCCGCTCCTTCTCACACCTTTTCTGTGAGAAAGGGAAACGGGCTGCGTGACTGCACTCAGGGCATTGGGCGCATCCTTGCCGAGTCAGCATCGTGACCTAGCCATGACTTACGCCGGTCTCTCACGTCTCCTGAGTCCTGACCGTGACCTTTCATGGCCAACCGTCCGGTGGCTGCGCTTCAACCCTGATTCAAACCGCATACCGGAAATAGCGGCCCATTCAGCCGTATGCTAAGTGTAAACAATGACCGTACAATGAAGCTGATGTCATGAAGAAACTATGACAATATAACCCGGCTCAATGCAACCAGCGGGACAATGTTGAAGCTTGTAAGTCTTGGGAACGTACGAGTCGCAGTGAAAACTGAAAGTGCATTGCATTACCAATTTACTATATAGTAGTATCTCAAAAGACAAAAACTGCATGAATTCACATGAGAAACCAAGTTACTTGCAGTGGCTCCATTGGGGCCGGGTATTCGTCCTGGCCTCCCACCGCCCCCACCATTTGTCCCACACCGCGCGACCCCGGACGTGGCTACTCCATCTGTGCCGCCTCCCACGCGAGTAGCTGCCTCCCTTCTGACGCACCGATCAAGCGGGCGACCCCGACGAGGCTGCGCCTGTCGAGGCGCGCGCTCCGCCCCCGCCGTTTGTGCTGGTCACTCGCGCCGGAAACGCCTCAGCCGCGCCACGAACCGGACGCAGCCGGTTCTGAAGGAGCAGAGTGGACTCAGTGGACTCTGTCGCCAACGCTCCAATTCAGTTACCAGAATGAAAACGAAAATCGTTGTTTCGCACCATACAAGTATTTATCCGCCGTCTCGCTCCCGAGGAAAAGGCTGGCGCGTGTTCAGGGATTGTATTCGTCAGGCATGAGGCAACACAATAGTCAGTCACAAAGCCAGCCTTTGTGAGGTGACCCGCCCAGAAGATATAACACTATGCCTTGGCGAATACCTTCCGAAAATGACTGACCAAACAGGAATCCATTTTCCGCAAAAGACAGATATGAGATAACTCTGAAATCGCTGAAACGTATGCAGACGAGCGTACCCGCATGGGACTGCATACCGTATACAGATACAGTCTTCATAAAACATGGCATAACGTACATTTACAGCATCGCGCTATACATTATATACAGTATACACAGGTGGCAGTCGGGGTGGGGGTGCAGTGGGATGCTGGTCGCGACCGCTCGGCGCGCCGTCCAGTGAGTGAAAGAGCCTCCGGCCTCGTCCCAGCCGCCGCGGTCGCGCGCCTGACGTCAGGAGGTCAATCCTCGGAGCTAGAGCGTCCGATAAATGAGTGTTCGGGTACGGTGTCTGCCCGTCCCGAAAACTAGCATTTAAGGGTATTAGGTACCAGGTTTTATTTCTGCAAAATTTCGGAGTTATTTAGTGTAATGTGTCGAGGAAGGTGGATGAGACAAGATCAATACCAAAGTTATTCGTCTCAAAATTGCCTAATTCTCAAATGCTGGTCCCCCAATGTTTGATTCCTCTTCCAGGCGCCATTGGAATTTGGAAGGCACCTCTTTTGGACGAACGTCATTCTAAACACTGTCAAACATCATGAGCTACAGGTTAACATCACACAATGAATCGGAAAATCGTACCTGTGACCCCTCTTTATGTCCCTGAGGTCATATCAGATCATGAAAGGTTTCCACCAGTTTTTCTTTTGACAATACCTAACATTTGCTAGAAAAAGGTAAGAGCGATGAAAACACTTAAGATGTGTTCAGGTTGACGGTACGCATCGACTGAGGTGTGACAAACCTGTTCCCGACCTTGACTTTAGGTCTAATTTTATAAATAACCTTTTAAGCTCCACTTTTAGCTCATTAGGCGCGACTCGATGAGAGGAACACGATGTTGAGAAAAGCTATGTCGTGCCTTTCTTGAATCGAAAGCTATTACTGAAAAACATGTTTCGCAAGAACGGTTATTTTGATAGTTTTTGCAATCTGTAGGCTAAACCGCTGGTTTTAGGTCAATTCTTAGAGCTTAGTCCAGAAAGAGAGTTAAAGGGCTATCGAATGCGCCCTTCCGTGGCGTCGTAGCTCTATTGGTTTCAGAGTTATCTGCCGATTTATAAACATGCATGAAAACTGTTGAAGCAGGCAAAATTTGACCTTTGATGACCTCCGGAAACCTGAACCTTGACCTGACCTAAAAAATGACTTAAGTATTCTCGCCATGCTTTTTGACGTTCTTTCGAAGGCCGCTTACCAAGTTTTGCTACGAAGCCCAGGAGCCGAGTTAGACGGGGGGGTCGATTATCCCCTCCCCCGCCCTTCGTGGTTGGTCCTGAGCACCCGCCCGGCACAGGTTGAAATGGATGTACCTGAAACACTAAAGCCCAGACTACATTACACGATTTTTCCGTGTGATTTAGCGATTTTGCGATATTGCGATATCGCGATATCCCATTTGTGATAATGCGATAATGCGTCAGCGATATTGCATGACTTAATAATGCGATTTCAGCAGTGTGGCTCAGCGCATCCGTTTGCACTAGCCACTAGATAAACATTTTCTGGCATCGCCAAGGGCATCGAGCTCTCGCATTATCGCAAAATCGCACAGAAAATCGCGTAGTGGAGCCTAGGCTTTACAGAGCACCTTTGCATATCAAAAGAATTAGGAAAGCCTAAGCAATCCAAAATAAGCCGATTCCTTTCAATTTTTAACCCTGATTTCTCATAACTCTCGCCGGCCGTGGGGCCCTCCCCTAGGTTTTTTTTTTCGCGATAGCTCCGAACGAACCGGCGATAGAGAGCTGAAACTTTGCATAACTGATCTTTGCTTCAAGCCGGATCTTGTGACACCAATTGCATTTTCAGGTCAGGTCAGGTCATTGACATATGACGTCATAAGTAAACCTCTGCTCGGTCCTCAAATGTCGCAAATTCGCAGCACACTCAGTGCCAGTGCAGTCACAGAGAAATGAAACTCACGAGTCACGACGTAGTATCCTCCAGAGGTATCACAACTTGTATATGTATATCTCGATTTTTCCTAAGACCACCTGAGGTCAGGTCGGTCACGTGACCTCACCATTACAAGTCAACGGGGAAAATGAAAACTGCTATTTTGGCGCCGGGAACGATCTCAAACTATCTCAAGCACACGGAATCGTGATTTCATGCACAAGGTCCGATGCTTCACTATTGCATTGTTGACCTTGAATGACGTCATTTATGACGTCACTAGGGTCATAAGTTTTTCGTCAATAGCTTCCGATCAAATTGAGATAGCGAATCGGGAAAGCCCCCGATGGACTCAGGAAAGCCTGCCAAATCAAATGATATGCGATATGAGCTCCTTCGGCTAATTTCGTGACTAATGGAAAAAACGAAATGGTAAAACAAATTGCGTAAAAGAGTGAAGAAAGGAAGAAAGGCATGATGTGTTCATCTGAGAAGCAAGTATATTATGTGTTCGAAGAAGCAAAATTACGGAAATGTTTTAGCGAATACCATATAAGATAACCATAATAAGATTACCTCACTACTTTTTTTGACGCAAACAACATCCGTCAGATGTGCGTTAGAAATTGCGCACATCAGTGCATAGCCGTAAAGTAACTTTGCTTGGTGTCGGATTTTGAAAGGTCATTGTTAAGCGGCTTCTCGTGAACTATATGATGTCAACATATAGTTTACGTTTTCTCCCTTTCCGACGGCTCGGACTGGTTTCTTTGTGGCGTTTTACAAAACAGCTTTGTCAGCTGGACCGATTTTATCGCATGTACCTAAAGTGATGCGGGCATACATACAGGCAGTTGCTATCTTGGGCACACACAAGTCTCAAGAAAACCAGTTTATTCTTATCTTTAGCTGCAGGGAATTGAACACGCCCAAAAGGAAGTCTCATTATTGGTTGGAAGTTTGGGTGTGTCGCTCAGAACCACATATAAAAGCACGCTTCAATTTAATCAACCATCATATTTCTCCAATCCTAGCTCTTCTCAGCTCAGAATGAAGTGCATTGTAAGTTTATAGGAGTAACATGGCTATTGGCCACGATATCATATAAACATTTTTTGAAAACCCCGTGACATCTAGATTATCATAATTCATATATCATCAATATACAAATTATTCATTTTGAAACTTCCCTTCCTCCCTTTTCAAAGCACCGTTTGTTCCAATTTCCAGGTGCTGTTGTTTGCTGTGGTCTCCTGCGCCTCGGCGTACTACTTCGTCACACCAAGTGCTTACTACGGCGGCGTTAGCCCTTACATCTGGGTTAGCATTCGGGACGGTCGAGTCCTGTACACTGAAAACACGATTTACACCCCATTGACACCTTAAGTTGGGATTACACCCACTTTACACCAGATATGCACCAGAAGTACGCCAACCTGATGCCCATTATACACCGTTGTTAGTCCCTGTTTGCACCCATGAACCTTTTTAACACCGCTCATACACCGATCCGCTAAATATACCATCAATACACCAGGCGAACACCCTCGTTGAAACACCATCTGTACACCTAGGTGATGCCCAGATCGGGGTGTAATAAGGGAATAGATCGGGATAAGAACTTTCTGGAAACACCCTTTTTACACTATACGAACACCATCGTTGAAACACCATCTGTACACCATATGGCGATGCCCAGATCGGGTTGTAATAAGGGAATATATCGGGATAAGAACTTTCTGGAAACACTCCTTTTACACTATACGAACACCATCGTTGAAACACCACCTGTACACCTAGGGCGGCGATGCCCAGATCGGGGTGTAATAAGGGAATAGATCGGGATAAGAACTTTCTGGAAACACCCTTTTTACACTATACGAACACCATCGTTGAAACACTATCTGTACACCATATGGCGATGCCCAGATCGGGGTGTAATAAGGGAATAGATCGGGATAAGAACTTTCTGGAAACACCCCTTTTACACTCATTGAACAAGGAAGCAACGCCGTTTTTCGCGCGCTTTCTAACGGCTGCCGACATGACGTCAGCGCGGCCGACCAATGGGAAGCGGCCTAGGCCCCTGCGCGGGCCCTCGGCCGCCGTTAAAGGGAGATAATGAGCTTTCTTTTTTCTACTGTAGTTTCTATAAAATATGAAAATTTCCTAGCACATTTTCGTATGTGAAAAAGGTTTTTATTTTTGCAAAAAAGAAGCAGTACTTGCAGTACTTGTAACCCACCGAAATGCGTTGTCCTTCTCTATAAAAAAAAGTCGCAGTATATGGCGCTTTTGTTTCAAACAGCGACGCTTGGGTTTTTGTTTATGTTATCGCCTTGTCGTTGCTTGGTTGTAAGGATTCTAATTTGAATTAGAGTTAATTCGGTTTAGAATTAATTAGATTCTAATTCGGGGGTACATAGTGCCATAGTTTACATTATTTTGCGCCACAAATGAACGGCATGCGCCAGAAACGCAGCCAAATCTTGCGATTGCGACTACGAAATTCATTATTTTGGCGTCAGAGCCTGAAGCGAAAAATATTAGCATATTTATTTCAAAAAGACTTCAGGTTTGTCGAACGGTGTTATGAGAATTTTGATAACAGCACTGCATAAGTTTTTCAGTGATACCGCAAAAGTGTTGTATCTATCTTCTTTTATTGTGCAATCGGCGGGACCGATTCAAAATTGAGTCGTTGCTACTAAAATAGCAGCATATGGCGTCAGATGATGAACAGGAAAAATAGTTGCGGCTCAGTTTCGCCGTGACCGCGACTCAGGACGCTCCGACGAGGGGAGCTTCCCAAGTGCTAGGTGGTGAAAAGTGAAAACCTCTATTAAGTGGGCTGTGAGTGCGGAGTGCGACGCAGGATCTCCCTCTGGCCTAGCGGGACGCACCACGGTGCCTACCCGCGGCCAGATTCTGCCCTTCCAAGGAGCGGATGGGCAACGACTGCCCAGGTACGCCCTCCACATCGCGCCAACGACTCTCAGCAGCCGACACGCCGTCGAGGAACACCAGGAGCCAGGTGGCTCGCCAGCTACAGTTCGAGCTGGATCGATCCGAAGGCAGTGCCGGGGGCGCGAGGCCCACCCAGCCGGTGCTTCTGGGTGACGACCAGCTGGAACAGCTCGCCCGCCGAGTGGCGACTCTTTTACAGCCGCCCCGGCCGGCCCGCGCTGCCCAGCCATCGCAACCAGACTCGACACCTCGGCCGGGTTGGGCTTCTCAGCGCCCCATGGACGGCCCACCTCCGCTGGTGCTCCCGCCGCCCGAGTTCAACCAGCAGTGGCGGAACTACCTCTCTCAACAGAGGCTTATCAACGAGAACTATCAAACAAGGGACCGCCAAGAAATCAGAGTGCTACTCCTAGCCACTGAGCGGCCCCCGGCCGACATCCAAGACCAGCAGTTCCTTCAAGATAGACTGAAACTGTTCGTCATAGTCGGCCACCGCGGCTGGGCGGCCGCGCTAAGTTTCGTATGCGCTAAGTTTAGTTATGCGTTTCGTTTTAAGTTTCGTTGTAATACATGTTGCACCAGCTGGCTGACTTTGGTGACGGGTCTGCAAATGAAAAAGGTGAGGAGCGGTGGTGTTGGGGAGCGGTGCATGGATGGTGCTAGCCGGGTGTACCGTGGGTGCTAGGGGAGTGTAGAACAGGAGTAAAATGGGTGCAAAGAGGGTGCAAAACAGGAGTAAAATTGGTGCAAAGGGGGTGTACAACAGGAGTAAAATGGGTGCAAAGGGAGTGTAGAACAGGAGTAAAATGGGTGCAAGGTGGTGTAGCACAAGAGTAAAAAGAGTGCACATAAGGTGCAAAGGTGGCATAAAGCTGGTTCAGGGGGTGTAAACCCGGTGCAAGTGCGTATGATACGGGTGTCATATAGGTTTACTGGTGGTGTTAAAAGGGTGCAAGAGGGGTGTATGAACGGTGTTCGACAGGTGTACAGGGTGTATGTTTGGTGTTTCGAGAGGGTTAAGATGGTGTTCTTCTGGTCTAAGTAGGGCGTAAAGTGGGTATCGTTTTAGACCACACCCCATTTACACCAAAAAAGGAATCATTTGAGTTTTGAGTGTATGGGGGCGGGGGAGGAAACAGTTTTTTTCCTTTTTAGGTATGGAAAAAGGGTTCATTACAAATAATCACATTATACCTAATAGAAACCATGCATCCAGCTGGGAGGCAATCAAAAGTTGGTACCTACTATTGGTCCCAGAAAATACGTTATCAGGTGGCTAGCTACCGCATGGTGTAAGCGGTAGCTACGGGAAGGCTCATGCTTCAATGAGCAGCTGGACCTAATGAAATCGGCATGGAAGCTCATGATTGCTCATTGGGTGAAGTGGCATGCTGTTCTCCCTGATATGTATGGCTGCGGTCAACTTTGGCTCCATCCACCTGGTGAAATGGCATTAAAAGAAAATCTTGTCCTCGCCTGACCTCACTTTCTAATCTGCAGAGAAAGAAGCGGTCTGCCCCTGAGGCCCCCGCTGATGATCAGCAGGCTGACCCTGCCCTGCTCTACAACAGCTACCTTGGCTACCCCTACTCTTCGTACATCCACTATCTGAAGAAGCGCGAGGCCCCGGCTGAAGATCAGCAGGCGGACCCTGCTCTGTACTTAAACAGCTACTATGGCTACCCTTACTCTTCTTGGGCCCACTACCTGAAGAAGCGTGAGGCCCCCGCTGATGATCAGCAGGCTGACCCTGTCATGTTCTACAAGAGCTACTATGGTTACCCCTACTCTTCGTACATCCACTACCTGAAGAAGCGCGAGGCCCCGGCCAAAGACCAGCAGGCTGATTCGGCCATGATTTACAGAAGCTACTATGGATACCCGTACTCTTCTTGGGCCAGCTATTTCAAGTAGATTGTTCCGTCACCAAGGGTTGATGCTTCCCCCACGGATTATTTTAAAACTGATCGCTGCCGACCGATAACAAATATCTGAGAGTTCAAGTTGATATGCTAAGTATGAACTGCGCTTGTGAGTTGTGGTTGTGTCAAACGGACATCGTTTATAATAAAACATTCAAATCACGATGAACTTTGTTGGCTGTTGTTCGCTGAGGTTCCTTTTTCAGTTTGCGATGATACGACGAATGTCACGCAGTGCCGTGATTTCAGACGATGTGCCGTGATCCATTGCAAAGCGATTGAGCTATTTGTAAGCTTAGCAAATTTCATTAAAACTGAGCCACAAATAACCATAAGAAAAGACATTTAAGCTCCAAAAAGTGCAAGTGCTCGGTCCGTGCTCGGTCAAATAGTGCAAACGTCCGTAATTAGGGTCTAACGGACGCATTGATTTGTTCAGTTTTGCCTTCATGCAGGCATTCTTTTAGACAGTAGGTACCGACTGCCTCCTAACCCTCTCCCAAAAAAAAAAAAAAAAAAACGTTTCGAACTTTTTGGCTTGAATAAAAGTGTTACATGATTGTAGATAAATTATCGTAATATCAGCAGAAGGTAATATTGTTACTCATGGCTGTACAAGTGTGTTGCCAATATCCCGATTATTCACTTTCTTTAACCCTCGCCGGCACAGGGGGAGGGGTTGATGCAACCCCCCCCTAAGGTTTTTCGCGAATAACTCGCGTAAAAAGCGGCCGATCGCAACGAAACTTTCAGTACCCTCGCATTGATCAATTTTACACCTACCCTGAAAATTTCATGACCCTGACCCCAATGACCTTTGACCTGTGACCTCTTTTCTGTGACCATGTTTGGCCGAAATCGCGGTTCGGCGCATGTCGGCTCGCATTAGCCGCGCGTTTGCAAGCCTTTCGTGGTTTCAAACGTTCAAACATGTGAAGGAAGTATCATTATCATGCTCCTCGCAACAGCTCTCAACGATGTTCAAACATGTGATTTGATGTTACTCCCATGCATTTGGGTGGGTGTCAAGGTCACCTGAAGGTCAGGTCAGGTCACTGACCTTTGGTGACCTCGGGTAACCTCGGTTCACTTTTTCGAGTTTTACATGTTTCTAGGCTAGTTTTTGGAGCTGAATTCGAATTTAGCAACCATTTGAACATTTACGAAGTGGTTTGGTGCCTTCGTAACATGTTACGAAGCTGTCCGAGGCGGTTGACACGTATTACGAATACCCGTCACAACCCCTACTGGTTGACCTGACCTGACCTGACCCGACCTGGTCTAAATACTTAAGGACATCATCTCTGATCAAAACTAACACGATATTCGTGATCAGCACCCCGGAAAACCACATAGCAGCCACACTTTACGACTTTCTAACAGGTCCCGATTTTCCCGGTTTTCGGGTCATTGACCTGACCTGGAAGGTCACCCGATGACCTAGGACCTTAAAATTGGGTATCATCGGCTTCCTCTCGTGACGGGCAACACGCTCGTTTTTTCCGCGAAGCTCTAGCTCGATTAGGGGCCAAACGCGAGGGGGGGTCGTACCAACCCCCCCCCCCCTTGTGCCGTCGAAGGACTCAAAATGGCCTGTGCCGGCGAGGGTTAACGGTATCGAAAGTGAAAAGCAAACCAATGATGTTCTTTTGAATTGTTTTAATGCTGTTTTATATGCTGTATTGTTTAGCTGGTAGGTACAGAGACACTTAACCACTCAAAATGAAAATAAACGAAGTTTCAAAGTCAAACATAAATCAAGATTACTATATATTAGCCGTTTTCACGACGGGCTATCCGGCGAATGCACCTAATTTGACCAAATCTGCACCTAATCTCTTTTAGAGCAAATATCATCGTTTTATGAATTCATTTCAGTGCTTTAATCGATGATACTCTCTGATAGCGGCCCTGGTGGCGCGGTCGGTTAAGGCGTCGACCCGCGGTGCGGGCAGTGCCGGGTTTCGGGTTCGATTCCCGGTTCCGCCCGTTCCGCGTGCGTCGTCCCCGGCTGCGTCACCAGGTGTGGGGTAGGCTCCCACTTCAGCCGTAAAAAAATGACAAATGGCATACAGGGTGGACCAAAAAGGATGGAAACATTTTGAACTCGCATAAAACATGCATTATTGCATGCATGTGACTGGAAATGGTACCAAACGAGAGTACATTTCGTGGAAATTCATAACGGCATCACTCTTATCTGCTTTCTCTCGTTTCAGTCTCTCACAGCAAATGTTCGAAGAGACCGCCTTCGCGAGACAGGCACAGAGCGGCCGGTCTGGTGGCTGACGCGATAGCCCGATGTAGGATATATACAGTCGTGAGGTTCGATCCAAAGTGTATTATCCATCGCTGTCTCACGTATTCATAAATAAATAATACGCGCGTGCGCATTCTCCTTCTGACTCCTTCATCTCCCTTTCATCCCCCTTCATGTTGTAACCACTCGGCTCCGGTGTGCGAATCGTTCAGAGCGTCTGAGAGCGGCGGGGGCGGCGGCGGTGTGAGCGGCGTCTGTCTGAGACACCGGATGCTGCTGTCCGTCGCTGAGCCCCCGGGTTGTGTCGTTGACCCAACTGATGGGTCGCAGGAATCTCCTGTTCCTCAACACCAGCCGGCCAGATCCATCTAATCGCACGGTGTACTGACGGATGGGACGGATGATCCTAGTGACTACCCCTGTCCGGTCCCAGCGTTTCGTGCCAGCATCCTGGACACGGACGCGCTGTCCCACTGTCAGCTTCGGTAGATGCATAGCTGCTCCAGCCTTCTCCTGCAGTCTTTCAGCTTTCTCAGCCATCATCTTCTCTCGCCGGTCCAGGTCTTCTTTCCAGCATTGCCTGACCAGGAGGTGATTTGTGGCTACTGGCACTCCACCTCTGAGCTGTCGGCCAAGCAACAGCTGCGCAGGGGACTTGTCCCCCTCTCTCAGGGGTGTGTTGTGATACTGGAGAAGAGCCGACGTTATACGCTCCATGGCTAAGCTGCCGGTCGGTCCAGTATTGTCACGCATTATCATTTTGGCGGTTCTGACAGCAGCCTCCGCCCTACCATTCGATTGAGGGTAATGCGCTGATGACTGACGGATGCGTACTGTCCAGCGCTGGAAGAAACTCCGCATCTATTCTCAGCGCTGACGAGACTGGTTCCACCATCTACGGAGATCTGCTCCGGAACCCCATACTGCGCGAAGTGCCGCTGGAATATGGGCATGAGCTTGTCGGTCGTGAATGACCGGAGGTGGTCAAGTTTTATCCATCCCGTTAGTCTGTCGGCGTATACCAGGTATCTGTGTCCGGACTCCGGATACCTCGAACAGGTCAGCCACCACTTGTTGGAATGGATACTCCGGAGGCGGCGTCATGATCAGCGGTTCCGCTGGTTGTGATGGAGCATGATAATCACACTCCGAGCACTGGCGCCGGATCATTTCTACGTCGCCTTCCATCCCGGGCCAGTAAACAGCTTCTCTTGCTCGTCGCATCATGCTGTCAACACCTTGGTGTGCTGCATGCAGATTCCGCACGACGCTTCTCCTGAGGTCTGCCGGGATCACCAGCCTCAGCGGACCACCTTCGTATGCGTAACAAACCATGTCATCTACCATACACAGGCGGTCTCGTTTCTTGAAATACGGCTTCAGTTGACCAATTTCTTGCGAACAGCTCTCCGGCCAGCTGTCTTCCTTGATCCGCTGTTTCAGGCACTGATATGTGTCATCAGTGTCGGCGGCCTGACGTACTGTGCTCTGGTCAATGGTTGCAATATCGTTGCATCTTTCGATGGCTGCCAAAGCTGCCACACTCAGCTCTTCTTCAAGGCTCACGTCATCCCTTGACGGGCTCAGTCTTTCCACTGGGTAACGCGACAGGGTGTCCGCTATGACGTTTTTCTTGCCAGGTTGGAACCTGATAACGTATCTGTACGGCAGTGTTTTCTCTTTCAGCCGAAATAACCGTGGGTTGGTGATGTCCTTAAGCTCACGATCAGAGAAGAGTTTCAGGAGTGGTCTGTGGTCCGTAATGATCTCCAGGTTCTGGCAGCCGAGAAGAAACAGCCGTGCCTTTTGCAGCGCCCAGACAACTGCTAGCGCCTCGCCTTCTACGGCTGCGTACCGCTGTTCAGCTGACGTTAGGTACCTGCTGCCACACAAGGCAAGTTTCCAGCCTTCCTTGCAGCAGAACGGCCTCTCCGTTCCCGAACACTGGCAGTGCTGTTGCAGGACAACAAATCCGACTCCTGTCCTGCTCCAGTCGGTAAGGAGAGCCGTGGGCTTGTCTTTGTCGTAGTACTGAAGTCCACTGGCTACCAGCTGACAGACACGCGACTTCACCTCCTCGAACCGCTTCCTGAGCTGCTCATCCCAGTAGACGTGTTTGTTGTGCGTATCTTTTAGCAGCGCCCTGAACGGTTCCATGATGGGCGCTGTGGCCATGAACGGGGCCATCTGGTTCACTAACCCAGCAAATGACCGGATGTCGGTTATGGTAGGCTTTTCTGGCATAGGGAAGTGTGTGATGGCTGCGAGTTTACTAGCCGCCGGCGCATAGCTGTTCCATCCTAGGTTGAAACCGACAAATTCAACCTCCCTCCTGCAGAATCGGAACTTTTCCGGCGACAGCGTCACACCCGCCTTGCCACACGTTTCCAGAAAGTCCCAGCAGTGCCAGAACGCCTGCTCTACACTGGAGTCGTACAGCAGCACGTCGTCGACACATTTGAACTTACGTTCTATGTCGATTACTGCGTCATCGTATCGCCTTGTGTACGCGTCAGACGCCGATACGTGACCCATCGGCGTTCGCAGATACCGATACCGACCCCATGGTGTGATAAATGTTGTCAGAGCTCTACTCTCCACCGCGAGGGGCACTTGATGAAAGCCCCAAAAGGCGTCTAGAGTTGTCTTATACGCGTGCTGCGGGACCGATGATACCATGTCAAATGGTACACTCGGGGGCAGATTGATGTTCCACAACTCTTTATCCACCGGGTTCCTATGGCTCAGCATTGGCAGCAGCCGCCTGGTACCGGTAGACTGTGCCGCTTCACTTACTTGTCAAGCGGCACAGCCTACCCACCTGTATGACACCGGTCTGGGTCGGTGGCTGGAAGGCGATGTGGGCCGCCTGTGACGTCAGCGCAGCGGTGAGGGCCGAGCCCGG